AACTAAGGCCCATTATCTACTTGACTGTGAACCGTCAAATCTGCTTCGATCTGGGCCGTTGATTCGGGGGCACAGTGACTATAAATAGGAGGACCCCCTGGACCTCATTTCCTTTCATGCCATCTTGCTGCCTTCGGATTCTGAGGTCGCGCATTCATCTAGTCTACCCGAGTGCCTCAGTTTACTTCGTTTCGTCTTTTCCGGTGAGTCCCAATCACTGCCAACCATGTCTGGGTACCCATACCTAGACCTGTTCATGGGCCGGGCCAGGTCAGGCTCAGGCCGGGCTTTTAGTGTTCATTAACAGAAAAATAATAGGCCCGAGCCTGAGCCCGGCCCTAATAAAAAGCCCGAAGCCCGACCTAATAAAAGAAAATCAAAATTTTCCCTATTCAAATAGACATTATATATTTTAATTCAGGTGTTTTTTCCCTTATTTAAATGAACAATGGGCCTACAAGTGAATCAACAACCTTCTCAAATCAAAAAAATTATTCAAATGGACATCACATAGAGTTTTTACTTAGGTTTAACTATAGGTCGGGCCGGGTTTACTTAGGTTTAACTATAGGACGGGCCGGGCCAGGCTCGGGCCAAACTATTTTGGCAAAGCCCAAGCCCGGCTCAAATTTTATGCGGGCCAGGCTTTTTGGCCCGAGGTTAAGCCCGCGGGCCAAAAAACCTGTTCAAACCCGTCTGGGGGTCGGGCCGGGCCGAGCCGGCTCSTCGGGCCACCCGGCCCATGAACAGGTCTACCCATACCACACCTACCACCGGGGCGATAACCAAGACGATGATGCTCCCTCAAGCTTGAGGGAAGCTTGGGAGTAGGTCCCGGAGGCACGGGAGACCTCCGGTGATGTAGCATCTACTTCCCGGGGGAGGGAGCCTGACACTTTCGGCCCTTCCTCCATGACGGCGGAGAGACTCAGGTCTTTAATCCGCCATTTTCACCTCTTTGGGGACTTGGTCTATAGCCTCCCCACTGGCAACTTCCCTTGGGAGCATGGTCTCAATGACATAGTTATCTTCCAGGAACAACTTGAGGCTGGCCTGCGTCTCCCTCTGCACCCCTTAATAGTGGAGGTGCTAAACCATTTTAACGTCACCATCGATCAGCTCCATCCTAACGCTATTCAAAAAATGGTTGGGACTATATCTTTGTGCTATGAGTATTGTATTCCTTTGAACCTTGACATTTTTGCATCTATTCTTTGCATAAAAAATGCCACTCCTGGGTTCCACCA